TCAAATTCAGCCCTTAGACTCATTTGTTTGCTCCTTAATATTTTTAATTGTTTGACATTGGAATGCCTATTGGTGGGTCATTTATTTTCTGTCCAGACATAGCTCCCAGCACTCCCCAGTTACTTAGAAAACCATTGATGTAACTTATTTTTATCTACCCAGGACCTAAAGGCATTACAATTTGCAACCCATCAATGCTTGCTGTTTGCCAGATTAAAAAAAAAAGAAAGAAAGAAAATTTGGAACCCTTTCAAATCTTGTATACTTTCCACTGTACAACTGTAGAGTCAGTTTCAACTCCTGACGTAGGCCCAGAAATAAGCCAGCCTTAGCCACAAACCCTCCAAGTCAGATGAAAACTCTCGTTCCCTCTTTTTGTTTTAATAAAAGGTAGGAAAGGCCTAGAGCTCTGGAGGGCAAGGAGAGGCCTCCTTGCTGTCTCGCCAAACCTCTAATATCTGCCTTCCTCACCCCTTTATTTTATTGTGAGGGTCAAAGCCAGATCTGCCCCATCTGTTCTTCCATCCTGGTCCAGGAGAGAGTATAAAATGAGGCAGTTCTGTAGAGCAAAGCAGATCAGCTTCCCCTTCTCGGTGGTGCTGGCCATTCTCCAGCCATCTGCTCTCAAAAGGTCTTGAGTCTTTTGAGTGGGCATTCCCCACTCCATCCATGTGTAGTTCAGAGACCCCATCTCTGAGCATCTTCCTCACTGGGTTATACTTTTTCAGCCTGTCAACAAATATATTTATTTCTTAAACACATTTATTGTGTGCCAGGCACTGTTCTGGGCTCTGGGGATTCAGTGGTGAATAAGACAGGCAAGCTCCCTGTCTTCTTGGAGTTCACCCCCTAGTAAGAGTTGTACACATGAATCAGGTGATTGCACAAATAAATACACAGTAGAGTGTTCTAACAGTGAAATGTATGGAGACCTGCTGACCCCTCGATCACAATCTGACTGCAATATCTAAAAGCAGAACAACAACAATAGTACCGAGCACTGTTAATATGTTTACAAATTAATTAATCCCCACAACAACCCGATCAAGCAGGTGATGTCATTATCATCCTCATTTTACAGGATGAGAGATTTATAGCCACTGAGAAGTTAAATAACTTGTCCACACTCACATGGCTAGTACAGAGGATGCTTCCCTTCTTGGTTGAGCAGCCAAATTTCCTACAGCCTGCTGAATTTCAAAATGTGCCAGAATTCCGTGATAATAAGACAGAAGAAACTGGGTTTACCCCCAGCAGGTAGGATTTAGGTTAGACACCAGGAAGAACTCCTTGGCAACATTTATGAACGTCTGAGAGAAAGGAATCACTTTTCTGAGGATTTCCTTCTCTCCTGAATTTTTTATATTGAGTAAATAATATTGTAAAAATAGAGGAGTTATTTCAGAAAAAAAGATCCACTTATAATTCTACTTTGTGAATTTATGTTCCTTTTTTCATTCTTCTGGGCCAGATTGAGACTGTGCTACACAGTGGCATGAAAAGAGAAGGAACTAAATTTGGTTCTGCCCACAGCAGCATAAAGGCAAGAACTTATAACTTGCAGACCTCAGGCCCTGGCCCCAGGCTTCCAACATCCAGAGTGACCCCAATATACCCAGAGATGAAGCCAGCTCTTCCACAGTGGGTGGGCACTCCTGTGGGCTTCAGCAGAGGAGAGCTGGTGATCTTACTGTTCCAGGCCACTCAGTGTGAACCAGGGCAGAGGTGAGGCTGTGAGGGATTACCTGCTATTTCAGATGAAAGTAACCCAAAGCATCATGCACCTAGATACTCTTGGTGGAAACAGGGAAAAGAGAAAGGGGCAGTCAGTAAATATCAGGCTGAGTTAGCTGAACGATTGAAATGGCTTCCACATGAATGGTTAGGATCATGAGATCCCCACTACCTTACCCCACTCCTACTTGGATCAGCTTCAAGTCATGGGCTGGAGGCGTAGGGAGCTCAGGGTGCCAACTCCTCAGGTGTCATGGGATGTCCCAGCCTGCTCTGGAGAGATCCATTAGTGCCCTCTAGACCAAGGATTTCCTTTAGGCCTAATAAAATAGATTTCATGTATGAAATGCTTTAAAGTTTGCCTGGTGTTTTCTCTATAATCTTCGTTTTTTATTTTGATTCTCACATTCACCTTACAGATAGGTAGGACAGTTATTATTATCCCCACATTTACTTTTAGATTACATTAGAATCACACAGTAGCAAGTCGAGCCAAGTGCTAACTGAGGCCTTCTGATCTCTTAAGCCCCAGGCACTTTCCCTTGGTTTCCTCAGAGAGCCTTCAGAATCTTTCCAAAGCTTTTCAACATTTAAGCACGGAAACCCTAGACTACCTCTCATTCTCATAGCTTAGAAACAAGTTTGAAAAATCTCCCAGGTTCCTCTATTGACTTTGCGGGCCCAGAGCAAGCCCATCTGTGTCCCTGGTGGAAGGCCCACTCTCTCAAGCTTGGTCAGACGCACTGGGACCCAGAACTTGTGCAATGCCCTGATAAGCTTCTTAGAGGAGGTGGTATTAGCCACGATCGGATATTCTTCCCCTGAGCTGCCCTTCACACCCGACCCTGCCTTGAATTAGGATTCTGTAGGAGAGCTGGGGGCACAGAATGGGGTGTTCCCTGCTGTCCAGCTTCAGACCCACTCTTTGAGGTCTTGGATTCTGACAAATTTCCAGAGCTGAGAAGATACCCAGATGTCGAGGTCTGAAGGTAAATGATGTAATTAGGTAGGAGGGATCAGCTGGAGTGCCTGCTCAGCTCTGTTATGTAACACAGGATCAGAAAGAGAGAGACCCTCTGAAATTTCTGATAGGGATAGGAGTGGACTTGCTACAAAGTGTTGAGTTCATGGCAAGGATCAGGGGGCTGCAGGGAGATAGTGGAAAGAAAATTATAGAAATCAGGGACAGAGAAGGAGGTTCACTTATTTGTACTTCTCCTTTTGCTTGTCCCTATCCTGCTTTTTAAGACAATTATATTTGCATCTCCAGTTAGTGTGGCATGCAAGAAAGAAAGGGGTGTTAGGAGGCGCATCTGCTCAGCTACTCGCTGGTTGTATAATATTAAGCAAGTCATATCTCCTCTCTGGACCTCAGTGTGTTCATATATCAGAAGAGGAGTTGTACCAGATAGATTCCATGAGTTACTCAGCTCACTGCTAATATATCATATGCAAAACCAATAATTTCCAGTTATTGTTTTGTAGTAATTTGTGAACATTAATTAGAGATTTAATAAATACTTACTTGGGTGGGGTCTTAATGCCCTTCTTTATAAAAGGATTCTTTGAGGGCCTTTCATGTTCTTCCCTCCTTCATTCTTGTATAAAACTAGCCTTTCTGTTCAGTGCTTTTCTTTTTTATTTTTTCTTTGAGACAGAGTCTTGCTCTGTCACTAAGGCTGGAGTGCACTGGCACAATCTTGATTCACTGCAACCTCTGCCTGCCAGGTGCATGCAATTCAGTCTCAGCCTCCCGAGTAGCTGGGATTACAGGCATTCACCAACACACCTGGCTAACTTTTGTATTTTTAGCAGAGATGGGGTTTCACCATGTTGGCCAGGCTGGTCTTGAACTCCTGACCTCAAGTGATCTGCCCACCTCAGCCTCCCAAAGTGCTGGGATTGGATTCCAGGACTGAGCCACCATGCCTGACCTATTCAATGCTTTTCATATGTTTTTACTGTCTCAACATTCCTGTGACACTGTTATTATTAACATTCTAATTTAATTTAAAATATTACAGGCTGAGCGAAGTGGCTCATGCCTGTAATCCCAGTACTTTGGGAGGCTGAGGTGGGTAGATTATGAGGTCAGGAGTTCAAGACAAGCGTGGCCAATGTGGTGAAACCCCATCTCTACTAAATATAAAAAATTAGCTGGACGTGGTGGTGCGTGCCTGTAATACTAGCTACTCAGGAGGCTGAGGCAGGAGAATTGCTTGAACCAGGACCCAGGAGGCAGAGGTTGCAGTGAGCTGAGATCATACCACTGCACTCCAGCCTGGGCTACAGAGTGAGACTACATCTCAAAAAAAAAATATATATATATATAACATGCGCATGATACAAAGATCAAACTAACAGAATATACAGTGAAAATAAGTCACATTCTGACCTTTAATCCTCAGCTTCCCTTCCCTAGATGTCCTTCCAGAGATTACCTTTGCATAACTAATATATATGTTATGCCCATTTCACAGATGAGGCACCAAGGCTCAGACTGTCCAGGATGACACAGCTGGTAAGCAGCAGAACAGGGAGTCTACTCCATTCCCCAGGATCCTCCCACCATGCCACATTCTTTGGGAAGCTCTATAACATTAACTTTTAAGCTTTGTCCACTCTGGATGGTGGAATTGTTTTGAGTCAGTCCAAAAAAATACATGGAGCCTTAATGTCCCTGGCAGTGCCCTCCACTGCTGCATCTTTTTGTCTATAGCTTAAAACTGTATCTCCCTATCTCCTTCCTGCCTTTGATAAGGTGAGAGCTGTGGCCTAGCACCAACTGTGGATGACTGAGCTCCCAGCATCTTGGGCTTGGACTTGAAGAGTACTGGCAGACCTTTTGCTAAGGGCTCAGGGAGGACTTGGTAGACTCCACAGAGCACCCAATCCCCAGATCAGGAACCTGGGCTGCTGTCATGCCTACATAGTACATAGGACCCGTAGGTACTCTTTCTCTTAAGAGTAAGTATTTTCCCCTGGAGCAGGGGGCAGGAGTAGTTTGATTTAGCAGAGACCCAATACATGACAGTTTTGTATCCCTGGGGCTTCTGTTATCACTTTTTTTCATATGAGGGTGTTATGGATCTCAGATCTCCTCTTAGTGGTAAATAATCTCTTTTTTTCCCCCATCTAGGTTTGTGGATACCCCCCAGTTGGGCTTCATGGAGAAATCTTTAATCACCAACCTGAATCTCAGAGTAGCCTCCATCTTTTCATGGACGGAATGAGAGGCCTTCTGTAAGCAGATATAACTGGCCACTATGAGGAAATTGATCAGGATGGGGCCTCAAGAGAGGCGGTTACTCCGGACAAAGCGGCTTCATTGGAGTCGCCTCCTCTTCTTGCTGGGAATGTTGATCATCGGTTCTACCTATCAGCACCTTAGGAGACCCCGGGGCCTTTCCTCATTGTGGGCAGCAGTCTCTTCTCATCAGCCTGTAAAACTGGCCAGCCGGGACCTCCCAAGTGAAGAGATGATGATGGTGAGCAGCAACCCTTCAAAACCTAGCTCTGAAATGGGGGGTGAGATGCTGGTACCTCAAGCCTCAGTGGGCAGTGATGAAGCCACACTGAGCATAACAGTGGAGAATATCCCCAATATGCCTAAAAGAACAGCCAAGATGATCTCAACAACAACCAAGAATAACTACAGCCCAACAGCAGCAGGTACAGAAGGAAGGAAGGAAAATACCCCAACATTCAGTAGAACACTGACTTACTACACACCAACTTCAAGCAGACAAATAGTAAAAAAATATTCCCCGACATCCAGGGGAGAAATGAAGAGCTACAGCCCAACTCAAGTCAGTGAAAAGGTGAAGTACACTCCTTCTCCACATGGTAGAAGAGTAGGCACTTATGCTCCATCCACATTCATGACAATGGAAACAAGCCATGTGATCACCCCCAGGACAACAGTGAAGGACAGTGACATTATGGCAACCTATAAAATACTGGAAACCAACTCTCTTAAGAGAGTGGAGGAAACCACCCCAACCACTCTCAAGGGAATGGTTGATGGCACCCCACCTTATCTGACACATGAGGTAGAAACAAACATTTTGACTTCTCCAAGGAACGTCATGGAAAAAAACAACCTGACTCCCCCCAGAAGAATGGAAAATAACAGCTCAACTCATCCCTGGGGGTTAGTGGGAAAGAACAACCTGATGACTCAGGGAACAGTCCTGGCACATACCCCAGCCACCTCTGAGGGGCAGGTGACAATAAGCACCATGACAGGCAGCAGTCCAGCAGAAACCAAAGCCTCCACTGCTGCTCGAAGTGTTAGGAATCCGTCACCCAGGACCAGTGTATCAGCCATCGAAACAGTCCCAGCCACAATCTGGAGGTTGGCAAAGAAACCTTCCACAGCACCCAGCACCTCAGCAACCCCCATGGTCAGGGCAAAGTTGACCACGCAGGTCCATCACTGCGTGGTTGTGAAGCCAACCCCAGCCATGCCCACCACTCTCTCCCCAAGCCTCACAACGGCCCTGCTCCCAGAGGAGCTCAGTCCCAGTCCTTCAGTGCTGCCTTCTAGCTTGCCAGACCTCCACCCCAAGGGAGAGTACCCCCCAGATTTGTTCAGTGTGGAGGAGCGGCGGCAGGGCTGGGTGGTCCTGCACATTTTCGGCATGATGTATGTGTTTGTGGCGTTGGCCATTGTTTGTGACGAGTACTTCGTTCCAGCCCTGGGTGTCATCACAGACAAGCTGCAGATCTCCGAGGATGTGGCAGGCGCCACATTCATGGCTGCTGGAGGCTCCGCCCCCGAGCTCTTCACTTCCCTCATCGGTGTCTTCATTTCCCACAGCAATGTGGGCATCGGTACCATTGTGGGCTCTGCTGTGTTCAACATTCTCTTTGTCATTGGCACTTGTTCCCTCTTCTCCCGAGAGATCCTCCACCTCACCTGGTGGCCCTTATTCCGTGATGTCTCCTTCTACATCCTTGACCTGATAATGCTCATCCTCTTCTTCCTGGACAGCCTCATTGCCTGGTGGGAGAGCCTGCTGCTGCTGCTGGCCTATGCCTTCTATGTGTTCACTATGAAGTGGAACAAGCAAATTGAGGTCTGGGTGAAGGAACAGCTCAGCAGGAGGTCAGCGGCCAAGGTCATGGCCTTAGGAAACCTCAGCAAGGTAAGGACAAATTGGCTCAGGCTTCTCTAACCCCTTTGAGATGAAAGGATTTGGTGAAGCCAGGGACTGAAGAGATGTTGGATCAGACCTCAAGAGATGAATGCTCTGGTTCCCTTATTATTTATTCAACATTTATAAAGTACCTATTCTCTGCCAGGCACTGTGCTAGGGCCTTTGTAAGCATGACATTGGCTCAACCTTAATCACCCTATAAACTGGTTATATTATGATCCCCATTTGCAGGAGAAGAAACCGAAGCCTAAAGAAGTTAAACCACATGTTCAAGGTCACACAGCAAATAGGCAGTATAGCCAAGATTTGAACTCAGGTTGGTGTGATCAGGTGTTTGGAAATGACATTTGAGTTGGGCTTTGGAGAATGTCCAAGAAGATAACCAGGCAGGGAAAAATGATAATCTCTTCCATGTGCATGGCGTTCAGGGTTTAGCTAGCACCCTCATTTTCATTTAATCCTGTTAGTTCATATTCCAGACTTGAAGGGGCTGAAGGCTTGGATGGGGTCTGAGAAGAAGGAGGGTTTTATATTTTTGTTTTGTTTTGAAAAATATTAGAGAAGATGGGAGCTCTACTCATGCACTGGTAAGCTAGCCCTGGGGGCAGAGCCTCCTCTCGGTGCTCACTGGAGACCGGACACCAGGAGCACCAATCCTGGGGCTTTTTCCTGACCCATAAGTTCCTTTCCAAGAACGTCTCTGCCCGCTTGAGGGACCTTCCTATTAAACTAATTGGATGATTCAATAACCTGGAAGATTATTAACTGCAGAAGTGATCTCTGAAAATTCATTCCAAAATTTTTTTGTTTTTTTTTGTGCTGGGAGTGACTGGGACTACAGGCACATACCACCACAGTTGGAGCATTCCCAGTTTTTTTGTTCCTTGAGACTCTAAAGTGAGGATACCATAGGGAGCACAGACTCCACTTCTCTCCTCCTCCTAAAGCATGAGTTTGGGTAAGGGTTGGCTCACAGCCTGCCTATTGCAGGTCTCAGAGAAGCTGCTGGTGTGAGCAGAATTTTGCATGCAGTTGATGGACTTAGCTACTTAATCCAGAGCAATTTTGATGAGTGAGCAGGATGGAGACCAAACTCAGCAACGTGTCTGCGAGATACATGAGGCAAGGGAGATTAAATGCATTTCCTTTAGATTTTTTAGATAACATGTTGTTCTGGCCAAAGCATAGAACAGAGAGCCAGGAAACATGGGTTCTAATCTGATTCTGCCTCTAATGAATTATAATTATGTCACCATAGACAGGTCCTTTGCCCTCTCTAGGAGAAATGGCAGAGTCCAACTAATTACTGAAAGGTCCTGTCTAACTCTAACATTGTATGATAATGTCCTGCATCCAAGTGAGTTCAGTTCTTTCAGGACCCAGCACAATGATTATTTGTCTGATCTGGTCAACTGAGCTCCTATTGTGTCATTTGCAGATGGTCCAAAAAGGAGAAATATCCTGCCCAGGGTCATAAAGCCAGCAGATATTAGAACTGGAATGGGAACCCAGTCTCCTAACTCCTCATTCAGTGCTATTTCCCACCAGACTATCCGCCATGAAGCCAAAGGCTTAAAAAAGAACGAGAGGCTTAGAGCATTACATAATTTAATACAAGGAAACAGGAACCTCCCTCCTAAGGCAGTTCTTAGGGCTCGTCTTGCTAAGTTCTCAGGGGTGGCCATGAAGTACTGGTATTCTCCTCTGAAGAAAGCGCCTAATACTTTGGTGTACAGCAGGCCAGCAGTTTCCAAAGTGCCTCTGACTTGCTTCCCAGTCCCTCATAGTAATTCTGCTTTTATTTAGACTCTACAAACTCTGAACTTTCCATTTGATCTGAGCTAGATCATCAAAGCAAAGCTTGCTGGACAAATGAAGCATAATCAAAAGAGAATCAAGGGCTTTAGTAGCAGTTTCTTGCCAACCAGTAAGCACATTGATGCTCTGTTCTTATTTGTTGAAATAGATCGAGTATGTTTTTTTTTTTTTAAGAGACAGAGTCTCAAAACAAAACAAAACAAAATAAGAGAGACAGGGTCTTGTTCTATTGTCCAGGCTGCAGTGCACTGGTGCACTCATAGCTCACTGCAGCCTAAAACTCCTGGGCTCAAGCAATCTCCACCTCAGCCTCCCTGGTAGCTGAGACTATAGACATGTGCCACCACGCCCAGCTAATTTTTAATATTTTGTAGGAGGGCCTCACCATGTTGCCCAGCCTGGTCTCAAACCCCTGGTCTTAAGTGATCCTCCTGCCTCAGCTTCCCAAAGTGCTAAAGTTAAGGCATGAACCACCACACCTGGCTCCATTGGCATTTTTTTTTTTTTTTTTTTTTTTTTGAGACGGAGTTTTGCTCTTGTTACCAGGCTGGAGTGCAATGGCACGATCTCAGCTCACTGCAACCTCCGCCTCAGGCAATTCTCCTGCCTCAGCCTCCTGAGTACCTGGGATTACAAGCATGCACTACCATGCTCAGCTAATTTTTTGTATTTTTAGTAGAGACGGGGTTTCACCATGTTGACCAGGATGGTCTCAATCTCTTGACCTCATGATCCGCCCGCCTCGGCCTCCCAAAGTGCTGGGATTACAGGCGTGAGCCACCGCGCCCAGCCCCCATTGGCGTTTTTTAAATGTCATTACTCCTTCAAAGACACCTTATTTCCCTTTAACCAGATCATAAGTCTGGTCACATCAGTCTTATCACTGCCACTAAATGGGGAAATAATTTTTGTATCTCCTAAAGGGCCAAGCCCAGTGTCTTGTTCTGAGAAGAAGTTCCTTAAGTATTTAGTTCAGTTTCCTCAGGGAACCCTAAAAGTTCCAGAACTCCAGTTTAGTGAGACAGAGGAGTCGGGGTGAGAATCCACGCTTATGGAGAGCCTATTCCACACATAATTTGTCTTAACAATTTCTCATAAAACCATACAAAGAATAGATTACCTTCATCTTGCAGATGAGAACACTGAGGCTCAGAAAGGACAATTAACTCAGCCAAAGTTACACAGCTACTTGGCGATCCTTACTATTGATTATGAATCACAGTATCTGGGTTTTAAGCCAAGTTCCACTGCCGACTATTCCCGTTAACCCAGGCAAGACAGTGCAATACAACAAACCATTATTATTAAGTTAGATGGAAGGCTGTGTGGGAAATAAAAAGATTATATCCAGTAGGGACAAGCCTAGAGAAAATTAACTGCAATGAAGTGAACCCTGTGCAAAGTGCTACAAAGTCACTTTGCTTTTCAAACAGGCCTTGGGTTGCTCATCTGTAAAGTGAATGGATGAGCTATGCAGAATTTGGCAAAGTTTTTTGTAAAGGGCCAGACAGTAAATATTTTAGGATTTGTGAGCCATATAGTCTCTGTCACAGCTACTGAACTCTGTCCTTGTAGCATGAAAGCAGCTACAGATAATAAATAAACTAATTGGAATGGCCACGTGATATTTTACTAAGAGCAACATGCTTGCAGGTGTTCTCCTACCTGAACAGCTTGGAGATGTAGAATCAACAGAGAACAATTTTCTTACTAGATATTCACCTACCTGATAGCTGTCGAGTTTCTGAGCTGGAGGATTTTTCACTTTACTTTTTATTCTGCCTTCGGTACCTAGAATCAGGATAAAGGTGTTTTAGTAGTGATTCTAATCAGAATTTACTTAAGAATATTCCCAGAAAAAAAATAAAGGACTTAGTATTGGACATAGACATATAGTAATTTTAGAGTCTTACTTTTGACACTGGCTGAAAAAAATTCACAACAAAAACTATTTTGGACAACACTGTCAGACTGACATATATTGGTTCGAGGATGCCTTTTATGGCCCCAATAAGGAAGTGGGAAATGTTTGCATAGTTATCAACACAGTCTAACTTAGCTCTCTCTCTGAAACTTAGTTTTCAAGTATACTTGGTTTCAAACCTCTTAATGTATTTGTTCTGGCCAAAAATGAAAGATCTCTGACCTGCCTTGACCATGCATAGTCACAGAAAGCCAACAGACAGCAAAGCGGAGGTGCTAGGCTGGCTGAAAAGCCTTATTGGTATTTGAAGGACAGCAGGGGCTGTTCTTTATACTTGACTAGATTAGCCAGGAAGCTGCAGCCATCGCACAAGGTGCATGATTAGCAAGCCAGTCTTGTGGAAAGCCAATGGCCAAAAAGGGTGCAAAGCAGAGAAAGAGCCTAGTTGGGGCTCCTTTGGACGCTCCATACCCACACTCTTCCCTCTAGAATACTCCTGGGGAAAAGTCCACCATTCCCTCCTAAATGCACTGGGGACTATTTTCATCCTGGAGGGACTTTTTTTATTGATTTATTTTTGAGACAAGGTCTTGCTTTGTTGCCTGAGCTGGAGTGCAGTGGCGCAAGCATGATTTACTACAGCTTTGACCTCCCAGACTCAAGTAGTCGCCCTCCCCAGCCTCCTGAGTAGCTAGGACTACACATGCATGCCAACACACCCAGCTAATTTTAAAAACTTTTTGTAGAGAAGGTAAGGGGAGGTGGGAGAAGGCTGAGAGTGTGTCTTACTATGTTACTCAGGCTGGTCTCAAACTCCTAGCCTCAAACAATCCTTCCACTTTGACCTCCCAAAGTGTTGGGATTATAGGTGTGAACCATCACACCTGGTCCCTGGCAGGATTTTTTAAATTAAACCAATCAACAAGGCCTCAGTCAAACCTGGTGCCTCTTTAGGGTCTGGTCCTCCCCTTTCTTGTCAGGGTTGGCATTTAGCCTAAGGGCTCCTATCAGTGACCTGTAGAGCTAGCTGCCTGCTTTGGAAGCAAGGGGCTATGTGCAGGAAACAGTCACTGAGGCCCCTTCTGCCTCTGTGGGTCCTGCCCACTAGACTCTAGAGAACTCACTGTGCTCCCAAAGGACCCATCCTAGCCTGGGCTAAGGTGTTCCCTTCTTCAACTCTTTGAATAATAATCAGCTTCCCTCTAATTGTCAGGAAAATATGGTAAGAGTAGAATGCTCAATTTTA